CAACTTCACTAATAGGGGTATCTTCCGCTATTTGCTGTATTGTGAGAACATAAAGATGCAAGCTTTCGCCGTTTCTGTTCCACACTCTACTTTCCATTTTTTTAGACTGTCTTTAGCTCTAACACTTTTCTTAAATTCGACGCACAATTCTTTTTGAAGTCATCACAATTACGCGCGGCCGATGTCCTCATAAACAAAATGGCGCTGCCGGGCATCATACGGCGTGCAAATAAGAATTTGTCTTTGGCAGAACATCCAACTACATCCGTCCCTTTTTCGAACTCATTTACTCATTTTGCCACATTAAAGTCATCATCTCCGTTAAATTTGGGTAATGCTGCTTCAACATCGGCAAAAGTAGCTAAAGTTTTATTTTTCATCTCCTTTTGTACCTCTAACTCCTCTATTTCTCTTTGAAGCCTCATAACTTTCAATTTAGCTTCCAGTTGTCGTGGCAGTATTTCAAAGTCAATTTCTGCCGTCTCATCTGCAGAGGCTGTTGGCGGATCTGTCTTCTCGGCTTGGACGTCTGCTCCAAAAACTTGCCGTAAAAGTTCCCTTAACTGGGTCACCGTAGCCGTTTCAGGGAATTCTACACCCTCATTCTGTAACTCCGCTACCAGCTTCTCCCGTACCAAACTTAAATCCCTAGGATGTAGGGTATGTTAAAATCATTTAATTTAAAATCTGTAGGATTCCCTTGGCCTTGTTCAATACTGTTTCGATTTTTGAAGTTTTCCTGTTTGATGGAGTATTAAAATATGAAGATGGCACGTCTGATTTTGTGGAAAAAAATTAGGAGAAAATTAGTTGTCGGATGATTCTATGGTCTACAGAATAGTAAAGAAATGGTTAGTATATATCAAACAAAGTTGAGCGGTAGATCGCGGCATATAGCTTTTGCTTTTTATACTCATATCTAAAATTGACGTAGACTTACAGATCATTATAGACTATTATCTAACTCATAGTCAACATTTTATAAGGCAAGTAATCGCGGGAAAATATTCACTGCCACTGAGATCTTCAAGTGTGCATCAGAGAATTCACCAACCGCCGCTTCAGAGAACTGCCCAACCCTTCTGATGTTCGGGTAGCAGAAAGGATTTTCCGAAACATCATCAAAGCTGCAGCCGCTCGCTATATACCTGCTGGTCGAATACCCGAGACAAAACCAAACTTCCCAGCAGAGGCAGCGGGATTAGCAAACGAGCGTGATGATCTCCGTCGTACTAACCCTACTGATCCTAGAATCAGTGATTTGACAGTGGAAGTCAACCGGTTGGTACATTAGCATAAAAGAAAAAAGTGGCTAGACCATCTGAAGTGCTGCAACATTGGAACCGATATGAGTAAGCTGTGTGTAACGGTTAAGTCGACCTCGAACCCTGGAAAAAAGGATGATAGGACCTCAGTCGTAACGGTGACTGATCCGAAGAGATGCGCGGAATATTTTAACCGACAATTTGTCGAGCACCCCGAGAGCGATAGGGCGAAGCGAAGAGTACTACGTCGTATCAGATCTTTTCCCGCCGAGGAGGAACCACCACAGTTTTCCAAAGCATTGAGCCCGGACGGAATCTTAATGGTAATGTTGAAGCCGCTGGATACGCCGGGAGTCGAGTACTTAACGAAAGTTCTCAATTTGTCGCTAGCCACCCACATAGTGTCCGAAACCTGGAAAATGGGCCAGGATGCCAGTAATGGCGAATTGTACAGGCCGATTTCGCTTTTGTCGCCAGTAGCTAAGACTCTTGAGGCTTTACTCCTCCCCAGCATTAGAGGAAGCTATACAGTTGCCAACCACCAGCACAGATTCCGTCCACAAAATAGTACCACAACAGCATTACACGCAATTTCCACACATATTAGTAGAGGACTGAACCAGAACAGGCCGTGTGACAGAACAGAGTTGGTAGCCCTTGACCTATCAAAGGCATTTGATAGGTCAATCATGGCACACTGTTTGAGGACGTGCAGAGAACTACCCTCCGGCCAAGTTTGAAACGTTGGATAATCAACTATATGTGTGGACGCAAGACGTGCGTGGAATTCCGGAAGAAAAAGTCCAAAGCCCGTAGAGTGAAACAGGGAGTTCCCAAGGTGGGGTGATATCTCCGGAACTGTTTAACCTCTACCTTTCCGGAATTCCTCGCCCTCCAGACGGCATTGAGATCGTAACGTATGCGAATGATTGTACGATCATGGCGTCGGGCCCAGTGGTCGATGACATATGCGAAAGGCTGAACCCCTATCTCGCTGAACTTGCCGCATACTTCCACGCGAGGAATATGAAAATATCCGCCACAGAATCAACGGCCACACTCTTTACCACATGGTCTGCGGAGATGAGAACACAGCTGAATGTTCAGGTCGAGGGGAATCTAATAACGACCACGAACTACCCCAAGATTCTTGGGGGGAGGCAAAAGTCCTTTCCTTACGTCAGCATAATCATATGCTTTCGTTGCAGTACCTGCTTGGGTGTTACCGTGAGAGTCATCCCAACCATCATATGGTGGATAAATCTCCCCCACCCAGGCGTGTCAGGAAGGACATACATGTTCTAGAGAGAAAGGTCCAGCGCTACAAGAGAGAACCTCTAGATCAAGAAGCCTATCAGGCAGGTCTGAGTGGCATTCACACCGATGCAGTTGCGGATGCTATTAGCAGTTATAAAGTGAATGCCGTCGACCCCCCATCCATTGCAGCTGAAGAACGTCAGCTGCCTAGACAAACCAGGGTAGTTTTGGCTCAATTACGTTTAGGATGGTGTAGTCGTCTCAATTCGTATTGGGCTCGAATTGATGAAGATGTGCGTGCCGCCTGCCCGGCGTGCGATACAGGCCCGCACAATACGCTACACCTCTTTAATTGCACAGCCAAACCTAGCAAACTCACTCCAGAAGATCTCTGGCTACAGCCCAATAAAGTAGCCGAATTTCTAAACCTGGGACTGGAACCAGATTAGCAGAACGCAAACACATGCATGTACTACTGCTACAACAACAACATACCCCATTTTGATTCATGTGTGCCATTGTCTAAGGTTCGATCGTGGCATGGCTGACTCGAATATTTGCACGGTGTTCTCCATAAATGCAGGGTGTCGACGATGACATCGAACATCGACATCGATGGTGAGGATGCGTTTTTGTGTGTGTTGTAATTTTACAGTAACAAACACCGCGTAAATATAAAATTGAATACCAAACCAATAATTAAAAAGTATTCTTATTATTATTAGATAAGGGCAGATATGACTCTCGTTAAATATCAAAATATGCATAGACATCAACAATGAACAGAAAAAATTAAAAAAATATACTGGACAATCCCAATTTATTGGTGTCTACCATAAATTTTTGGTCATAATATAATAGGAAAATATTGTTTGCCTATTTTCTACCTATATATAGTGTTCTTTTAAAATTACAGTATGTGGACAGAGATATGACTCTCATTCAATAACAGAATATTCACAGACTAGAACATGGGAGTATATAGTGTTGTTTACGTGAATTAAAGTAACGCTCATTTTCGATTCCACCTCAGTACTGTAGGCAAAAACCGTGTTTTTATTTAGAAAATTTGTAAGTTTTTTTTAATAAGGATTGACAATTTGGATTGTTTTGTCAATAACTTCGATATATGAACATCTTGGGTGGGAAATTACCTGGAATATGTTAGTATTCCAAAGAAATACTTTACTACAAAAAATGTATTTTTTCATATATCGGAAAAACAGGTAGCGATTGCGCTTCGCCTTTATTACGTGTGTGACTTTTTCGTTGGCAATTGTTTCATATTTGTTGTTGTTTTTTTGATAGAACATTTTTGTATGACACACTATTCAACATCCCCTTTTATTAGTCATTACATGTTATGACGATGGCCGACATGACAAGACATCGAGCATTTGATTGGATGTCACGTACTGTTATGTGTTTGATCAAACGGCACAACATGACGAGGGTTTTCTCTCCATGGCATAAATAGAGACAATTGTCATATGTGCAGCTCTTTAGTGTTGACTTTCTATACTTGAGGATGTGTTGAAGTTGATGTTAGAATCTTTGAGTATCTAACAGTGAAATTTTCGCTGTTGATGTTAGATTCGTGTTGTGAGTTAGAGGTTCAGTTTATTGTGGCGTTTAATTGATGATTATAGTTTTTTTTTAGCGTTCTTTTATTGCACTCTCTAAAGTTTCTTCAAGAATTTCAGATGATTTGTGTAGGAGTTCTTTGTGTTGCCTCTTCAATAGGGGTTTCTTTGTAGTATTGTTAGGCATTTTTGTTATTTGAACAATGTGGGTGATTACAATTTGTGCATTGTACTTTGATACATGGGTAGGTTCGTATATTGTTAACGAACAAACTGCACAGGTTTCACTGTTTGTGAAGTATTTTTTGTGGTCAATTTTAAAGCAGTTTTTCTGGACTGGACACAATTTTTTTATTTTTACATGCACTGGCGTATTAGGTACTATGCTAATTTTGATGTAGTGATTTTTGGACATCCAGTTACATCTTGGGACTTCAATCCATTTTTGTCCTCCTATTTTTTCCTCGCTCCGATCAGTTAACAGGTGACAAATGTAGACAACCTTTTACGCTGTTTAAAGTTGGGTATAGATCCTTTACCTTTAGATAGCGATTGGTTTGAGATTAATTTTATGTAATGAACATCATATTACCATCTCTCATGAGGATAGTTTTAAAAATAGGATGACTTAATATTCCTTGAACTGCTTTCGACACAAGAAAGGTGTCAAATGAAGTTAGCAGTTTCAGTGTATTTGCTCTTCATTACTACGTATTTAGGGCTTTGGTGTTCTTTTGGGTTTGTGAAATATACCTTACGAGGGAGAAAAGTACTAGCTTATTGATGTTTGTGTTTGAAAATTCTTTAGAACAGAGTTAAGCCAAACCTAAAACTACATGAACATTATTTCCTGTTGGTAAATTCAATTAATGATCCATTAATAAGAATTATCAACTAATTGTCTGAATTATATTTATTATAAAAAATATCATGCGAAATCACACAAATATTGATATACATTAAAACCCACAACTTTTCCTATATATAAAATAAATTCTAGACCTACTGTGCATTGGAGACGCGCAGATCCATCCATTACATTATTCTCACCGCTTACAAAGCCCAAAAGCTTTAAATGTACTAACGTTGATATCTGGGAAAGAAGATTACATGTGAGGCCAACTTTCTCATCCAGAATTGCATAAAAAATAGCTAATAGACGATCAAGGCTAAATGATTTAGGTCCCAACGATGAAGACATTTTCTCCGCCACCTGTAAACAAAATGATGTAATATATATTTGTTTTGGAATATTTTACTTTTTGCTAACCTTTGCTTTGGCATTGACGCTTTGTAATCGTTTGCGTTGCTTTCCATGGTGTTTTACAAAAAGCCTTTTGTCCTGATTGGCAGAATTATGACTGGCTAAAAAGGCAGCTATGAGTAAATATTTGCCGTAAAAAGGGAGTTCAAAAGCTCGTGCTAATTTACGAAGACTATTATCCGCAAGATTTCCCTCCAGGTTATGGTTTGAAAGCATCTAAAAGTAAATAAAAAACTTCATCTTATATTGAGATAATATCTCGTTGGAACGAGTTTTGTTTACTATATATATATATATATATATATATATATATATATATATATATATATATATATATATATATATATATATATATATATATACTATATATACTATATATATATATATATATATATATATATATATATATATATACTATATATACTATGTATACTATATATATATATATATATATATATATATATATATATATATATATATATATATATATATATATATATATACTATATATACTATGTATACTATATATATATATATATATATATATATATATATATATATATATATATATATATAAAGTGCTAAAAAATTTTCATAAAAGCGTCAGATGACTATCGCTAATTATAACGTTCATTTAAAATGAGAAGTTATTCAGCAGTGATAGTAATTCAGTACAACAGTATATTCAAAAGCATGCCCAACAGTAATTTTTTGATATAACCCCCATCCCCAAGATCCTCTTCGTGTCCAATAGCCGGTACACAGGTCTGACCCCCAAGAAAAAATGCTTTCCCGAAGTCAGGAAATTTAAAAACAAATTCGACGTTTTAAATTGAATCTTACCTCACTTTCCACTTTATCAAATCGCATATAAACTTGAGATAAGGATGATCGCAAAGGAACTGCAATATTTCGCCATAACCTTGCTACGTCGCTTAATTCTACATTACCGTTGAGAACGGGTTCCATGTAAGTGAAAAAACACTTGCTAGCTGTAATTTTTAATTCCGGTACATCACGGCAAGCTTTGTAGAAAACACTTAGAAAGATATTGAGGTAGTTATTGTAAAACTCCTGTGTAATTTGTTCAACTATAACCAATTGATTTCGTTGGACTTTTGCATCGCAGTTATCATTTATTCGACATTTTAGCATATGGACAGTATTCTCAAAACTACCGCTCAGAATTTTTAAGGTTTCCACTTTCGTGTACTGCGGTGTGTACAAAGATATGACTTCGGAAACGCCGGTCTTGCAATAATATTTTTCCAATGGAATTTGTGATATTAATAACACACAAATATTAAGGCCTGTAAATTCCTGCAGTCTTAATAGCGATGGCAGAATATTGTTGTCCATGTCTCTCAAGCGGTCGGCATTGTCTAAAGCGACAACGAAACCACTTTGTTCTACGTTTTTCGCTTGTCTTAATATTTCGACAAATTCTTTAAAGTTGTCACAACGCGTTCCGCCTAAAACTAGTTCTTCTAATATATGCTCATATAAAATCTTCGTTGTGTAGCATTCTACGCAGTTAACAAGTACTGTCCTGTTGTTTTCACATTCTGCATGTATATTAAGAAAATCTTTCACTATCGCTGTTTTCCCAGTTCCCGTATGCCCACTGATGTAGATCGCCGAAGGAAAATTTTCCTGTTGAAATAGAAATATATCAATTTTGACAATGAAAGAGGAAATTCAAAGTTTAACTTACTTCAGATTTCGATACCATACAATACAAAATTCTAATAAAGTCGGTACGACAAGGATATCTATTCTCCAGGAGCTCCGTAGTGTACATTTTGAAATTAATAGAATTTGTGCTATTTTTCTACATTGAAGCGGGGAGTTTAATAAATTACATAGTCGTGGTGGTATATATTTTACGCAGGTAATCCAAACAGACGGCGACATATGGTTTTCCTTTAACACAAGCTCTGATCTTTACATGCATAGATCTTCAATTTTTATACCCTACACCACAAAGTGGTCAGGGTATTACGTCTTTATGCATTTGTTAGTAACAGACCCATAGCTTCTTTTAATGATCTGCATAGAAACACATTCTGTGTCGATTTATGAATTTCCGTCCGTCTGTCCATGTATTTTTGTAAACAAAGTACAGTTCGCATTTATTGCCCTATCCAGATGAAAGTTTTCACAGATTATTTGTCTGGCACAAGGACGAACCCTATTGAAATTGGAGATAATCGGTAGATATATATATATATATATATATATATATATATATATATATATATATATGTATAGTTAGATATAGCTTCCATATATATCTTCGTCCGATTTGCCTTTTATTGTGCACCAAACTTGTAATATCAGCCCGAATAGTATGGTATAGTATAATTTTTGCACATACAACCAGATTAGGCCTGAAAATAAGTATGCCAAATTTGATCGAAATCGGTTCAGATATAGCTATAGCTCCCATATATATTGTTCATCCGATTTGTTATATATCTTACCCACAACCGTAATATGCACTCCGTAACATCGATATTCAGGGAAATATATCAAATACAGCTCAGAAATATCTTTGCCAAATTTTATCGAGATCGGTTCAGATTTGGATATAGCTCCCATATATATATTTATCCGATTTAAAATTAATTGTGCACCAAATGGGTTTAGTCCTTTGAACTTTAAATTATAATTATAATCATAGCGTGTATGATTGAACTCTCCCATAAAAACTTTCAATTGTTATGTGGAGCTCTACTAAATTAGCAAAGTGGTGTAGGGTATCATAAAGTCGGCCCCGTCCTACTTTAAAACTTTCTTTGCTGGTTTTTGATAGAAATGTGTCTAAATCTACTTGTTTTGCAATTTTCACAATCATAAAGGGAAAATCGGATATGGTAGTAAAAACCTTTACATTCTTGCATCTCTGGAACAGACCAATTGCCACTTTGAAAAGCAAAGGAAAATAGTACCAATTATGGTACAATAAAAAGGTAAGGTAGAGCTTCCAGCTGATTACAATTTTTTTCCAAGTGTGCCCGACTTCCGCCAGTATTGTGTATGCATTTATTGTTTTGAAAAATAAAAACAAAATATTTTCAAATTCAATTATTGGAAGTAACTTAATTTGAGGGGCGCACTTTAATGATATTAACCAGATTTACCATGGAATTGAAAGATTGAAACTTTAGGATCATATTTTTTAAAGAACATCTAGGCATTTCATTCATCTTTTGCACTATTTGACTAATTTTAAAAATGAACAAATAATATCAAATAAATGAAAACAACTTGTTGCATATAATTTTGAGTAATTTTGACAGGAAGCGGGCGTAGCCTCAGGGCTGTATATCTCTAGTTCTACGAAGCTGTTCTACCTCCTTATTGTACCATGATACCAATTGTCTTAAGGTGCAAGTACATAAAAAGCTTGAAGTCATGGCTAGGCATATTAGTGTTAAATTATAATGGAAAACGACGGCAGGATTTTAGTTCGGCTCTGTAATTCCTTTATGAAATGTCATATGACTTCAAGCTTCTTATGTACTTACACCTTTAAAACAAATTCGTATTAAAACTACAAGACAGTCGCTACTCAACCTTTGTTGTTGCTACACTGCGCCCTTTAACTCTCGTTTTGTTTTTCAACACACACACATAGACACACACACAAACATTTGTTTTGCTTTCGCGACATTTTGAACATTTTGACTTTCTTTTTAATTTTTTTCAACAAATAAAATTAAGTAAAAATTTTTTTGTCAAAAAAAATGGATGCCGATGGGGAACCGCCCCCAACACCTATCTGGGACCCAAATAAACGCAGTGCACATCTAATGTCTAATCAAAAAAAAATAGATTCATAAACAATAATGGTGAACCCATCAAAAACACAAATGTATCAGAAGTCTCATCTAATGAGTCTGATGTGTCTGAAAAAATTGAATTCAATTATAATGCCTAACAATCAAACATTTGTTACACACAAAACCATCCGGGACCATTTTATGTTATTGTGACCTCGGAAACTCCAATTAGTTCCAGGAGGAAAAACTGCGAACTACATCTTTATGCCCTTTTTCAAAAAATCAATGTTCCTACCAACTACTTTTGTAAAAACATAGGATACAATACAATCCGCATTACTTTCAATAACTTTGCACTGGTAAATTCATTTGTTCAAAACCAGCAATTTAAAAAATTGGATTAAAAGCCGAAATCCCTGAGCGACTTATTCGAAAGTTTTATGTAATAAAAAATTTTACTAAATCCATTGATGGTATAACCATAAAAAATCTATTGAACAAAATAATGATATGGAAGTAATATCTGTACACAGATTTACAAGGAAAACCGAAAATAACAAAATAGAAGAGACTGAAACAGTCAAGTTGGAATAATCTGTAATGGAGTCCCCCAATCTACTTTTATGCGTGGTACTAGGATTAAACCTGATTTATATGTACTCCCTGTACGTCTTTGTAAAAACTGTGGGCGTCTTGGCCACATTGCCATACGCTGCAGATCAACTAAATGTTGTCTAGACTGTGGGAAATTAATAATTTGTCCAAACCAATGTAAGGAACAAAAATGCAATGATTGCCTTACTACCACCAAATGCAAGGAACAATGTGACACATTAAAATGTATTTTGTGCAATGGTATTGATCACAATGCTACGGAAGAAGGAAAATGTGAAAGATGGAGATCTGAAAAACAAATTAAATCGCTTATGACTCTTTCATATCTAAGCAGAAAAGAAGTCTTACAAACGTACCCGGAATCCCACAATTATTACAACATTTTAGCTGATGGCAACTACAATTCTCAATTTCCTCCAATGAGTAAATCTTCTAATCAAAATATAAGAAACTTTAATGAAGAAATAAACAGAAGAATCACAAAAATAAAGTACAGCAAAATAGCAGCTCCTCGCACCATTATCAATCATCCAGTAGCCAGTGCCATCAATATTACACCTTCAATCCCTGTTTATGAACATTCATCCTTTTCCAAAGTATCAGAGCTGGAAAAAACAATGTCAATTTTTACCAAACAAATGTCTCAGTTACTTAGTATAGACGAATCGCAAAATAATACAAGCATATGCAATTATAATATAGTGTCAAAAAACAACTACGGAGGAGTTGCCATACTTTTAAAAAATAATATTAAGTTCAAAAAGATCCAATTTGAAATCCCATTGGACATCATTATTTGCCAAATAATAAACATGTCGAATAATATAACCATTGCATCCATATACTTCCCTCACTCTATAAGAGCTAGCGAAATAAAATATGAGCTTGAAAAATTGCTATGCTTTTTGGAATCACGAACTGATGTACTAATCTGTGGAGACTTTAATGCGAGGCATTCATGTTATGGAGACTCTTTTGATTCACATCGAGGAAACATTGTCAAATCCTTTTTTGACTCATCAAATTTTTATACTCCTTATAATGGAAACTTCACCTTTAAAAAACGCTCAACTGACACAACTGGTTCTGTTCTTGATCTGTCATTTACGAATACTACGTTAACCACTTCGTGGAAAGTACAACCTTTTACAATTGGAGGAAGCCATCATTACCCCATAGTTATTAATATTGGTATCAGCAATATTACAAACCAAAGGTTTCTAGCTAAGAAAAAGTTGTTAAAATCAGTGAACAACGCAAATATCAATCCTCGCTTTGATGATATACATGCAACGTTTAAGGATGAAATAAAAAAAATCTACATTTATTTCAAAAAATAAACAATCTCCAAAAGTTTGGTGGGACTCTGTCGTAGAAAAAACACACAGACTTCAGCTAGCTGCTCAAAAAACGTACGACATGTTCAAAAACAACATAAATGCTTCTAAACTTATTGAGGTTAATAAAGCTTTTAACAATGCTGTTAAATTTTCCAAAAGGAAGTCCTTTAAATCTAAAATTCAGGATCTTAACAAGGAACCAAATTCTAAAGCACTTTTTAAATTTCTCTCTTCTCTCTTCCTCTCCCATTTATAAAACAAAATGGTCTTCTGAAAACGATAAAAAGTTTTTAATCCATCTTAGAGATCAAGTTCCCAATAATGCTCCAATTCAAGTCACGTTTACAAGTTCAAATACATAGCCAATTTTTTCAACAGAAGAATTTGAAACTGTTTTACAAAAAAAAGAAGAAGCCATCAGCTGCTGGTACAGATGGAGTTACCTATGAAGAAGAAATAACACTTCACTCAACTATTTAGTAAACACAATTATCAGTAAGATAAATAATTCAAATATAAGTCATCTTACTTTTCTGTGGGTTCCTTCCCATATACTTCTCTAATGTCTTTCCATTTCCACTAAAAAAAACACTGGCATGCCGAACTGGGAGCAAGTTGAGTTTAGGGGCTATGCTCGGATCGTTCTGAAATTTTTTCCACAGGTAGGTATTTTTAACCTGATTACGGCAAAATAATTTTATTGTGGGGGAAATACCCGGTTATTCGACCCGAAAGTTCAGATACAATATTCGGTTTTTATCCGGTTCTACTGAACCGATAACTACAAAATGGAGATCATTTGAAAGCTTATGAAAATAGAGTAATGCAAGAAAATTGATATTTTTTACTAGTACTTTTTGAAAAACCCATAAAAACTCAAAAATGGACCTATTATATCTGCCTACCTTATAACAGCCAACACTATTTGTTTGCGTAGCAATAAAAAATGAAAATAGAAAATAAGAAATAAAAAACACAAAAGGGTTTAGATTAATTTTGTCAATATTGACGTGGGTTTTATTAGTATAAAATTTGTAATATTATTGTAAATAATATTTTTACCTTCGATGTTGTAGTGGACGTAATCCATAAACGAATTCTTTGATTCTAATCGTTACAATGTAACGAGAAAAGCGTAGGTGTTGCAAAGTGGCGCTCAATGCTTAATTCGTTAGTTATAATCGTGACATTAGCAATTTGTACTAAAACCACAAAGATGTACTTAAACGTAGTACAAGAATTATAAGGTATTTACATGCAATAAAAATTAACGAGAAATATAAGAACAAATATGATTCTTAATTAAACATTGCCGCCAGCCTTGCAACATCTTGCTATGTTGCAAAAAAGTAATGAAGTTTTCAAATTTCAATATAAAGGTATGCTCGGTGAGCCAAGGCAATTTAATATTGCATATAAGAAAAAAAATTGGATTGGAGCTCGGTAATCAGCAGGTCGCGGGACACCGTATGGCTGCACTTAGAAAGAGACCAAACAGGACACCTTTCGGAAGCAACCCCAACCAATCATGGTGAGTTCTACCGAATTTGGGAAGCCTGTTTCACTCCTTTATGTGCTTTCATAGGTATTACACTGGGTCCTGATTCTTTGATTTCCTCTGAAAGAGGGGCAGGTCCAGTGCTCCCGGCCTGGTTTGTCTCCTTTAGATTTTGGGAAAAGAGGGCTGATGGAATCTTTTGCATGGGATCAGCTGCCGATTTATCATTAACAGGAACTTGTGTATGTGAAGTTATTTCCAGGTGGGGATTGTATACCTCCTCTGATAAATGTTGCCGGACATTCTTCTCTCTCCTCATCGTACATGGGGACGAGATCCTCATGATCGGGAAGAGCGGCGGCCATCATACAAATATTTTCCATTCTGTGAAAAGATAGAGACGCCGCGAAGTGAGAAGAACTAACAATTTAAAAAGGCCAAATTGACCAACTAGTCTACTGGTCGTCTTACAATTTCGTTTTTTCGAAGGCGACGCGTGCGCGACCGTCGATGCCGGGATAAACGCGAGTTACATGACCTAATTTCCACGTTGTGGGAGGTAATTGGTCGTTACGAATTTCTATAATATCATCCGTTTGAATATCGCGCTCTAGATACTGCCATTTTTACAATTTATGGATATTTTTAACGTACTCTTCTACCGTAAGCAGATTTGAGTAGGCGCTTTTAATCTACAATGCCGATTCACGATATTCAAAGGAGATTCATCTATTACAGGTTCAGGAGGAGCTAGGATCGGAGACCCTTATCAAAGAATGACCTGGTGTTAATGATATACGATTTTCTGAAAATCATTCATTGGGTAGCTTCAAGATGTATTGCTTTCGTAGAAAAGCAAACGGATACACATACGTAGCCCTATGTAATTTCACAACAACTCCCTGTAAAGGATTTTAAATTGAAAAGATCAGCGAAATCTATGCCTGTAGCGAAGGGTCTAGTTTTCAGAAACGAAAAGGTGTGTTACTAAGCCTATTACGAGGGGAGTAAGAAACGTTGGTTGCAAATGTCGTTACGCTTCTTGAAGGAGTTATACTAGTAGGGATCGGACCTGTAATAACCCAGCCGAAAACAGTTCTTTGGGCAACTAGGGAGCCTAAAATATGGGAATGTAAACCCGGGAGAATTATTTTTGGATATAAATCTGCCCCTATTAATATTTCTACTGGACGACAGTCGAACAAATTTTTATCTGCCAAACGTAGATTTGACATATTAGGAACAAGTTCCTTGCTGATGGGAATCGAAGGAAGATTGCCTGAGATGGTTGGAATCACTAGTGCTGTCATTTCTATTAAGATAGTACTGTCTACTGGCGATCCTACACACAAAGAACATGATTTTTGCGACATGATTGAAACCTCTTGGTTTTCTCCAGAAATTGTTGCTTGAGAAGATATTGTGTCTATACCAAGTCGCTGCTGTAACCTTTCTGACACAAATGATGCTTCGGAAGCAAGGTCTATAAGAGCACGAGCAGTATACGTGACCCCATGATGAATAATGTTGACCATAGCTGTGCCCAGTAGGACCGATTTATTTTGCGAGGTATGGAATACCTGCCTACTTAAAGCATCTGAATTTTGACCCGAAGAAGTCGAAGGCGTATTTGGATTGGAAGTAGATTGTTGGGGGGAGCGTGGCCTACAAATCGGTTGAGGAGAAGTCTGTGACGGAGTCGTAAAACTATTATTTGGTGCCGTATTATAGTGCAGAAGTGTGTGATGACGTTTATGACATTTGGAGCAATTATGGAAACTTGTACAATTCCTAAGATCATGATCTCGTGATAGGCAATTAATGCAAAGTTTGTGCCGCTTTACAACTGAATAGCGGTCTGCTGAAGTGCGCTTTCTAAATTCTGGGCATTCACGTAAATGATGGATTTGCCTAGGACAGAATATACAAAATTTATCAGAGGAAGATTGTGGAGACCTAGGTGGAGCAGCATTCGTAAAATGTGTCCTAGCTTTATTTTGCTCTGATTTTGTAGTGGAGTCTATACCCTTTATATCTTTAAGGCAGGTGAGCGTTTGGATTCTTTCTGTCAAAAAGAGATCCAAGTCTTTCCAGGAAGACAACGCTGATTTATCTCTAATACCTTGTTCCCACAGCGTAACTGTATTTTTGGGAAGCCTTTGTAAGCAAAGAAATACCAATATTGGGTCCCAATTGTCAGTAGCAACGTCATAAATTGACATAGATGAGACACAACCATTAATACCTCTTTGCAAACCTTTTAAACCTGCGCTAGTTTCGATATCGAGCACTGGAAGATCAAAAAGAGCCTTAAGTTGGTTGTTAACCAGAATTCGAACATTATCATATGCTTCTTTTAATGATTTCCAGGCCAAGCTAAAACTTTTATGAGTGAGAGGGTATCTTTTCACAATTTCTCGTGCGTCACCACTTGTTTTTTTGAGAAGATGGCACAATTTCTCTATATCACTAAGTCGAACCAGTGGAAACATCTGGAAGATTTGCTGATTGATGCGAAACACCTGAAACAGAAATAGTTTCCTCAAATTGTGATAAATTGGCACGTGGGGTGCTAGATTGATTTGCTACTCTAGGAGAATTTTGAGCTTTCGGCGAAGTCCGAAGCTGATCAACTTTCCTATTTATAGCCGATAATACCTTTACATATGCTTTAAATGCGACATCGTGCTTACTCTCAACCGATGTTAATTCTTCTGCAGAAGAAGAATCAGACGACTGAATGTCGTTCAAACACTTTTCAAAAAGATTTTTCACTTTACCCCAGAGCTCCTTTGCTTCAGCTCCTTGAATTTCTAAGGAATAAACGTCTAAATCTTCATTTAAAATGGAAGTGAAGTTGGCTTCGAATTTTACAAGAGCATCAGTGGCTCTGATGAAGAAATCAAGAGGAGTCAAAGGCATATTGAGGGTAAATTTATGTAAAAAAATCGAAAAACAAGTTAATTATCGAAGATAAAAACTCAAATGTCAAAAATAAGCAATAGTTTTCAAATTTAAAACAACCAAAAATTAATAAAAGAAGAAAAAAAACCAAATGAAAAGGCGAAAAAAACCAAAAATCTAAACTTTTGTACCAAATTGCAAATGAAATAAAGATAAAAATCTTATAAAAGAACGAAATTCTTTTAATAAACCAACAAAGTTTTCTATTTGTGTGATGTGTCGTAAATACAACACAGATTTTTTGTCGATGTAGCGAAAACTACTCAAAATTTAATAAAACAAAGTGAAAAAAGCAAAAACCCAATTTTTCAAAGTGTATTGAAAATACCTGAAATTTCTCTCAGTGTATACGTAATATACCAAGTTTTAATTATAACACCAAAGTGTCTCAAAATATTAAAACTTTTTACGAGAGAAGAATTATTTTCTCTAAAAAAAAAAAAAATCAAAAATATTCACAAAATAAGTAATTTTTTAAATTACCGGATGTAGTGTGCACGGACTGTAGGGTACACACGACCAAATTTTTTTCAAAGTATTCAAAAAAATTACCAAAATATATAAAAATCAAGAAAAAATCAAAATGTTAGATATACAATACAATATCTTTAATAAAATATATAAAAATATATATTATCTATTAACCAGGACCGACTGTAGGGTGCACGACGATTTTCTAACAATTTTCTATTCGCGTTTATATTAAAATTATATTAAAATAATATTTTATCGAAAACCGTACCAAAAAATTTCCGACCAAAAATTTTACTTATTCCAATTTTTATAATGCGCGATGGCAACCCTATTTGTGTGTTTAACTGGTGGTGAGTGGGAACAGTGAGAATACCATCCAACATTAACAACAACAACAATAATGGTCACTGCTGTTAATGCTGCTGTGTGGTTCGACGACTGCCTGTGTATTTGTTGTTGTTTTTTTTTATTATTTCGTTTTATGCTTTAGCCTTTAATTTTTACGTTGTAAAATCACAAGATAGACTTTTTCTCTTATTGAAAAATATAAACAAACACCGACTTTTTCTTAGGCACTGTATCACTGTTCTCACTTGTTTTTTCTTTATTTTTCTCTTTGAAAACCACCACTTTTGTACGATCGATTGGCTTTGAAATGATCGAGAGGAAGAATAACAACAACAACGATACGCGTATTGCAAGACGACCGTAGGTTATGTTATTGTTTATGCAAATTATTTTATGAAAAAAATAAACAAATCGAAACACTCGCGAATGCACTCTTTAATAGAGATACGTACCTTGATTTTTAATGAAATTTAAAGATGAAAATGAGGATGTAATGAGATGAGATGAACTTCTATGGAGATAGAAGAAGAGATGAATTTTGTTATTTGTCGTAAACAAAAAACTTATCCGGCTCGCTCAGGACCAAATGTTTGCGTAGCAATAAAAAATGAAAATAGAAAATAAGAAATAAAAAACACAAAAGGGTTTAGATTAATTTTGTCAATATTGACGTGGGTTTTATTAGTATAAAATTTGTAATATTATTGTAAATAATATTTTTACCTTCGATGTTGTAGTGGACGTAATCCATAAACGAATTCTTTGATTCTAATCGTTACAATGTAACGAGAAAAGCGTAGGTGTTGCAAAGTGGCGCTCAATGCTTAATTCGTTAGTTATAATCGTGACATTAGCAATTTGTACTAAAACCACAAAGATGTATTTAAACGTAGTACAAGAATTATAAGGTATTTACATGCAATAAAAATTAACGAGAAATATAAGAACAAATATGATTCTTAATTAAACACTATTACCTTTCTAAAATGGTGTCATACGTGTTGATATCTTTTGTAGTTCCGAAGATATTAGTAATAGAAATCATAATATTGCAATTTTTTCTCCAGTCAAATGTATCTAACCTCTATAGCATTTTGAAACAGACGGCCTTCGGCCGGGGCTTGAGATCTTCTCCTATGTGGCTACGCGATCCATAGTTTTTGTAAACATTGTAATTTTTGCAAGTAGCCGGCCTTCAGCCGGAGCTTGGGATTTCCTCCTCTAAGGTATGTCCAACGACGGCTACGCGATCCATAATTTTTCTAAACATTATAGTTGTTGTAAGTCGCCGGCCTTCGTTCAGGGCTTGAGATTTTCACCTCTGTGGTATGTCCAACACCGGCTACGCGATCCAAAGTTTTTGTAAACATTGTAAATTTTGTAAGTAGCCGGCATTCGGCTGGGGTTTGAGATTTTCTCCTCTAAGGTATGTCCAACGACGGCTACGCGATCCATAATTTTTTTGAACATTGTAAATTTTGTAAGTAGCCGGCCTTCGGCCGGGGCTTGAGATTTTTTCTCCTGAGGTATGTCCAACACCGGCTCTATAGTAGTTTTTCTAAATATTATAATTTTTGTAAGTAGTTGGAATTCGACTTTAAAGGCAATATCTTCGGAACTACAAAGCTATAAGAGATACATATTAGTGGGTGAAAACTCAATTTCATGATTTGCATGACTAATATCATCGGAAATATAAGAATATCAATACTTGGAAAGGCCAGAGTGTAGGCTACAATGTAGTATGCAGTTTTTAATACCCCATAATGGGTTTATTTTTGAGTTTTTATGGGTTTTTCAAAAACTACTGGTAAAAATATCAATTTTCTCGCATTTCTCTAGAACCGGTTCTAGTAACCTCATGTGATCCCTTGTTGGATAGGTATTTTCATAAGCTTTCAAGTGATCTCCATTTTGTAGTTATCGGTTCAGTAGAACCGGATAAAAACCGAATATTGTCTGAATTTTCGGGTCGAATAACCGGGTAACCTGGTATTTCCCCCACAAAAAAATACCTTGCTGTAATCAGGTTAAAAAGATCTACCTGTGGAAAAAATTTCAGAACGATCCGAGCATAGCCCCTAAACTCAACTTGCTCCCAGTTCGGCATGCCAGTGTTTTCAAAAAATTTCAGGTCAATCCGAGCATAGCCCCTAAACTCAACTTAAGCCCACACCTGCATAAAATGAAGCTGATAGACACTAATTTGTGTGCTGTTTGTAATGTACCTGAAACGGAAAATCATTTGATCTTTGAGTGCAATAAAATTCACCACCTAAGATGTAACTTCAATATTTTCAACGATTTTACCAACTTACCTGCTTTATTGAAACACCGAACAAACACCGTCATCAAGGAACTCTGTAATTTCATTACTTCAGCCAAAATTGAATTGTAAACAAAAATGATGTCACATTCACCATGGAACTAGTTCAATTATTTAGTTACTTCGTCTTGGTATATAGGTACTACGGGTACGTATCAACAATTACTTTTCAATAAACCAAAAAAACTGCAAGATGACTCAAATCCATCTCCATCTGAAATGTGGTTTGGCGAAAATCCGATTTTTGGATATGAGACATAAAGATCGGTACTAAAATGCCATAGAAAAATCTTGACAACACAACCACGGTGCAATGAAATCAACAACTGCGATATTTGTTTTTTAGCAATTCTGACATTACAATTCATACAGGTAGAAATCTTCACTTGCAAAATGTTTGAATTTAGCCTACCTTCTCTCAGTTCCAAAACCTGCAAGAAGGTACTAGTATTATAATTGTTTTTAATATCATAAAGGGAACATCGTTTAAAGGTGAGAAAACATAAAATGCTTTTTTGAATTGCTTAAGTAATCGACTGACTTCTTCGTAAACGAAGGAAGGAATTTTAGGTTGAATTAGTTAAATTTGGACCCATAATTTATACTTGTTCGCCCCGTACTCCTTTGTTTGTCTATGAAGATGACAGTCAAATGACTTAAGCCAGTAAACAACTTTTTCTATGTGTTCTCACCTTAAGTCATCGGGTAAACAAATATTAATTACGAGCCGAAATAGAACTATTTTACAACAAATTAAATCAAGCAATCAGTGAAAATTATTTCAAAGTGAAGAAAAACTTTTATAGAAAAAAATCTTCAGTCTATCTAGAATATTCGAAGCAATCGTTTGTGTTTTTTTCCTTTTTTATAAGTTGCACTATTGGTTGTCATATTATTTTTCCACAATTAATTTGAGATTCAATAGGTTATGGGCGTTTTAAAAGAATTGAATGGAATAACAATTTCGAGTTAAGTTGTACATGGACAATTTGGACTTATTAAACGTTCTGATGATTCAATGAACGAACCTAGTCGGATACATGCATTCTGTTATGTTCGCGACAGAAGACTGCAAAGGAAATGTGGGAAAGTCTGAATCGGTCTATGCTAAGAAGTCTATGGTGACACAACTTTTAATTCGGGAAATGCTCTCAGGGATGAAATTGAATGAAGGTGACAACATTTTATCTTATACAAATGCTTTCGAAAATTTGGTACGACAGATTGGAATCGCCAAGGCAAACGTTGAAGAGCCAGATCTCATTGTTCAATTATTTTTAACTTTACCGGGAAAGTTGAACCCACGAGTCAGGGCATTGCAGAACGTACAAAATGGTAAACTTACTTTCAATATGATAAAGGAAAGGCTGATGACAGGGGACGTTCGATCGAAATACCACAAGTTTGGCCACAAAGCCCGTAATTGTAGGCAAAAAAATAATATATGTAGCCACCAAAAATTCTGTATGTTTATGACTAGAGGCAAAAGATTTTTAAAATGGACTCAAATCTCAAGAACTTGCAAAAACCAATAGAAATTAATATTGCCAAAAGTAAAAAATCCCTGTTTGAAAATTCTTATGGCCAATCAATGGTATCAGTTGTAACAGGGTTCCCCTGGTAATGAAGGACGTGCTACATTTTCCATATTTACGGGATAATCTTTTATCTGTGAGAAAATTGTCTTCTGCCAGCGCCAACATCAAATTCATTAGAAACAAAGCTAATAGGATTGACAACGGTAAGATAATAGCATCAGTACAATTATCTGAAAATATTAATAAATTAAAGATAAATCTAACGATGGAACTGTTCTGGCTTCGGACAAAAATAATGGAGCTTTGTGGCATCGACAAGGCTAGACTGGGTCACATCGGCGTTAATGGTTTTAAGAAGTTATCAAAGAATACGAAGCTATGGTCACTAGTTTATTCAGCGGAATGTCAATATCAAAAAACTACAGACCAAGGTGAAGAATATTTGTCCAAGGAACAACGCCAATGGTATAAAAGAAAATGTGTTTGACAAAATGAGAACAATATTGTTGAAGTCCAAATTACCCAAAGAGAAGCCCCTTTAGCTGCGTTTACATTATTAATTGTTGTCCAACTAGGAGTCTGAAAATATGTTAAACTCCATCTGAAATGTGGTTTGGCGAAAATCCGATTTTTGTATATGAGACATAAACATCGGTACTAAAATGCCATAGAAAAATCTTGACCCCAGAGGTATCAAAACATCTGATGTTAAAAGTAATAAAACAATATTGCACAAGTTAGAGGAGGATAATGATGTGATGTGAATTCCTTGATGAAGGTAAAAGTGTAAATAATAATACAACTTTTACAGAAGAAACATTGCCTCAAGATTCTGTACGCCACAGCACTAGAAAACGAAGATTAGCTATCAAACATCCAACCTACATCACTGAATTCGAAACAACAGTTTTAACAAGAAGAATGCCCGAACGCAATAAAGAAATTTCTGGATTGGAAGAAGCTGCCAAATGAAGCAGTTGCTGATGAAATAGCGTCTTTGAAAAGAACGAGGTGTAGAAAGAGGTTGCAGCTGCAAACGTAAAGTTGTTAAAATCCAAATTGAATTTTCGAATAAAGGTAGATGAAAATGGATATCCAACTAAATATAAGTCTCGTTTAGAAGCCAAAGAATACCTTCAGCAAGAGGGGGTAGATATTTTCGAAACGTATGCACCCTTCGCGAACTTAAGCACCATACGTTTCATACTTGCTATTGGCATGAAGCAGAATTACATATTTCATCAGCTGAATGTAAAAACGACATTTCTACATGGATATCTTAAAGACGATGTGCAATTTCTGATGACATAACCACAAAAGGTATGGCCGTAATGTTAAGAAAATTATTGGAGTATAAAGTTCAATTATCATATTGCTAGGGTTCACCAGATCTAAACATGACTACTGTCTTTATACAAACAAAGTAATTACATTGTATAAAGCTTAGTAATCACACAAGCTATATGATTGAAAGGGTTGTTGGAAGATCTTGATGCTATTAGAAATGGTCAACCAGTTACAATATTTGAAGACAACCGCGGTTGTGTTGATATGGCATCGAATGAAGAAAGTTAGCGAGCAAAACATATCGATAAAAAGCAGCATTTCGTTAGAAATAATGTAGCTGCTTGTAAAATAGAGCTGAAATCAAATAGCACCAAGAATCAACTGGCAGAGCAAGTTATTGTTGTAGAATAACTTGCTCTGCCAGTTGATTCTTGGTGCTAATTGATTTCAGCTCTATTTTACAAGCAGCTACATTATTTGAAATCAAGCAAAGGGGGAAAATTTTTGCAAATGGAGAAAAACTTTTATACAACATTTTTTTCTATCTATCCAGAATATTCGAAGCAATCATTTGTTTGTCATATTATTTTTCCATTCAATTCAATAGACTTAAGATAGTCGAAAACCCCTTTTATGTATTCTCATGAATACAAATGTCACCTATACACTATCTACATGAGGAGGCGAAGGATTTACCGGTGCGTCAGTATAATAAAATGTCAGTGCCAATCACATCTGGTGACAGGCAACCTCCGTCCAGCAACGAAAGGAATTACCTACTGTCCGAGAATTGCCCCCACAAACCCGAGTAGTTTTGACAAAATTAAGATCAAAATGTGCATTCGCATAGATTTGTATTTGGCCCACATGAAACCCTGCACCTATTTCGCTGCCCAGCCGAACTTACACATACAGGTTGCGTCCTTTTTGGGTTTGGACCTCAAAACAGAACACGATTGAGATGCTTCAGAAGGGAAACAGCAGTTGGAGCTGCTAAAAACAGCAAGGCGCGGCGGTTCTTTGTACCGGATTGATTCGAAGGAACAATTCTTCGACCAGGAACCAATTTTTCTTATGTGGGAGCAACACTACCCGGAATGTTTGCTTCGCATTCTCTTGGTCCGAACTGGGATCGAGATCAAACCATGATTCAGCTCTGTTTGCAATAATCGCATCCACCACAGATAGGTCTCGGTGAGATACAACGGATGCATAAAGTGGGTGCTTTCCGGAATTGTTCTGGCTTAAATCGGCTACAGGAGTATAGCGATAGGGACTACATTGCCTCCTGCTGCTCCAATGTAGACCCCAGTGAGCCTTCATCTTCGTCGTCCACATCGTTGTCGGAGTATGAGACTCCCCGCAATCTCCACAACAGCAAGTCGTGCAACATTTGACACCACATATTGCTGTTCAAGGTTCTCCAATTCTACTGTGATGGTCTCCGAGGTAAGATCAATGAAATCGAGAAGACCATCAAGGTCGCAGCGATCCAGGAAACGAAGATGAGTACTACCTTTAAAGTTTTGATGGATACAAAGTATTTAGGAAGGATCGCACCAAAGGTGGAGGTGAAGGATTAGCGTTCCTATTGCCCCACCCTGTCCAGTACAGACATATCTTGCCTGAGCTGGACTCTAGTGACCCGTACATGGAATGTAGGTGGTAGCGGTCAAGTGTAGAACCGCCGAGGTAGAGGTGCATTACGTGCACATCCCGCCCTTAAATAGCTGTGCCCCGCATTACATGCCCAACATCAGATCACTTCTGTTAAGCAATACCTGTCTGGTGTTAGGCCATTGCCCTTCATGAATTATAGCATTCCTTACTAGGTTGCGACCAGAGGGACATGGCGATGGCTGAGTAAGTTGTGCATAATGAATGAGGAAGCTCCCACCAGAATAAGGGGAGGTTTAGCAGCTCACCGGACATATACATCGTTTCCTTTGGTCTGACAAATGACGTAATCTGACAATCAACCATTTTTTAGGCTCAGACCACCTCCCCATTATCGTCCCCAGACCACTCGACTTCACAGACTCTGGAGGTAAACAGTGTAGTCGGCGAGCATAAACTACAGCATATGAACCATTGCAACATCAGTTCCGGATCGAGTAAATTGAATAAAGGGATGATCGGGCATCTGTCTTTTTTAACGCCAAAGAAGTGACAGATCCGAAGAGGTTACTTTAAACGGTAATTTTGAGAGTGACAGGTAAGGATCCTACGCCGTCAATTTCCCCCAGTTGAGGTGATACCCTCAGATTTTACGATGGAAGATGTTGTACATGTCATCAGAAGAGCTTGGTTCTGAATCTCTAGGGTGATGTTGAAGCAACTGGATGAACTAGGAGTTGAGAATTTTACCAAACACCTCAACCTGTTTTACCCATCTGGATGCTTGGAAAATGGTCAGGTTGGTCCCGCTAATGAAACCAGACAAAGATTCCAACAAAAGTAATAAAAGCGGTAACATTTTTGTAGCAAAGACATTTAGGCATTACTCCTGCTCAACATAAGAGAGCGTTTCCCTGTAGCTGATCATCAACACGGATTCCGAAAATTGAATAGCATAATAAAAATTTTACACCCCATTTCCACACATGTCAGGAGAGGACCTAACCAGAACAGGCCGTGTGACTGAACAGTTATGGAGGCACATGATTTATCAAAAGATTTTGATACAGTTCGGCCAATTTTGAAACGTTGGATCATCAACTACATGTGTGGCTTCTTACGTGGAATTCAGAAACAAGAAGCCGAATATTCGTAGAGTAAAAAAGAGAGAGCTACAACAGCAATAAGGCAGGTGCCGCGGATATTATTATTTTCATGTTTGTAGAACTTTCTTCTTGAGACATTATATTCAATGTACGGATCACCAACGTAGTATCGTTATACTTCTTTAAAAATGCGTTGTTTAAAACCGAAAAATTTAATATTATTGAACAGAAATATTTAAACAAATTAATAGAAGAAAAGTTATGAAATGACTGAATAAATGTTAAGGCAGCTTAAAGTTTTCGAATAGCATATTTTGTGACATATCACAAAGGGGTGCCAAAGCCGTCATTTTTATTTATAAATTGATATTACCATCAGCTTTAGATAACTAAACTTATGCATATGGTATAATTTTTACAGATAGCAGCAAACCCTAGCTGATTTGACTTTATAAATTGCAAATGTAGTAAACTTTATATACATATACTCGTATATGCAGTTGCAATTGAAAAGGGCTGTTGCTTTTTCCGCAATTTTTAAAGTGTTGAGAAATTTGGATATATAGCTTACAACTACACATTCAGGAGAATAGTATGAAAGCCTTAAGGTGAGGGTACATAAGCAGCATGGCATAATGGCTTGGCATAATAATGTCATATTATTGCGGCTCTGACATCCCTTTATGATATGTCACAAAATATGTCATGCGAAAAATTGAAGCCGCTTATGTAAAAAAAAGCTTTAACGATTTCTGAAACGGATGGACAGACCGTCAAGAGGTGGCGCGCAACCAGTAGTGGGATTCTCTAACCAAAAAGATATAATATACTAATGCTTAGTTCACATGGCACGTGATTCGCTCTCTATTCGTTGTTCGACCATAAATTATGAAATATCTACTTGATTCGCCACACAAAATTTTCTGAGCAACAAAGATTTTTGTTCTTTGTTCCATTCAAATCACTCTCAAAACAAGGATGAAATGTGCGCCATACCTCACAAATGAGAGCATTTATCGAAAAAATTTTTGAAAAAAAAAAAAAAAAAATTAATGAATTTTCAAAATTTTTCAGAAGACTGAAAATTATAAATGAAAGATATAATGTTGAAATGCGTATGTGCAGTCAAACGAAAGTATATTTTGTTTTCTCTCTCATCCGAGGTACGCTTTTTGTCCACGAGTTGGAATTTCGATAGAAAACTAGACATAAGAGAGGCAATATTTTCAAAATTTTTGTATCGACAAAAAATTTTTTGACAAGTGACTCTCCAACCTAATTTAAAAACAGAAAAATACAAAAATATATTAAAATGTCAACATTTATAAAAAAAGTTCAAAACAGGAATGAAAGTTGGTTAATGAAAGATAAAATAAATCTTTGGAGGGAAAACAATAACTTCTTCTATTATTATTAATGCTAATTTTTTGTACTTTCGTACAAATTCCTATAAAAATCAATAAACAAAAAAATTTAAAAAAGGAATTATATTACTACGAATAACGAATCGTGCCGTATGTAAAATATCAGTAAAATTAAAACACAATACTATAAATGGAAACAAAATATTATAAGCATTTTACTTTTAACGATTTTTGTCGATAAATTCAATACAAGGATTTTCTAATCAAATCTATGATTTTTCAATTTTGTTGGCATGTGCAGAATTCAAGAATGACCAAAAAAGTGTCATCCTGAAGTTTCCATTAGACACCTTAAAGATTAAAACTTAATCAATACAGATAAGATAGTGTTCTTGAGAGCTCCGATTTCCAGGTTGTAAGGCAACGGCTCGTTGCTCTGTGGTTAATTATGACATGAGCGACTTGGAGCTGGATTCTCGTTCTATAAAAACATAAAATTAAATATATTATTTTTATACAATTTTTCATTTGACTACGTCCGTACAAAACATAATGATTGATGAAATAACGTTCATTAATTGTGAGGGGTCCATTTTTAATTTTATGTGTGCTCAAATTTTATTTACTACCAATGCGAATCACTAGTTTTCTCATGTAAAAATTCTAAAATGTATATTTTTGGAATTAAAATAATTTATTGAATATTTAATGTGTGACTACATAAGCAGCATGAAATCTTCGCATGACAAATTTTGGGAAATACCATAAAGCGATGCAAGAGCCGCACTCGCATCCTGATGTCATTTCCCATTATAATTTGACATTAATATGCCTAACCATGATGAAGCTGCTTATGTGCTCTTACCATCACCCATGGGAGAAGAATGCAGTCAGTCGCATTGACACAGCTGCTGGGACAAAGAACTGTCAACCCGATTTTTGAATT